GCGTTTCTGATTTAGGTCTAGGCTGGGGCCTGAGAATCTGCATTTCTAACAGTCCCCCCTGATGCTGATGCTGCTGGGTGTGGACCACTTTGAGAACCACTATCTTAGGCATATTTTCATAAGCATCATTAAGAGACTGCTACAGGATGTTCATCACAGCCTTGCTCCCAGAAGCAGGAGTGGAGGCGAGCTAAGTTTCCATCACTAGAGGAATGAGTAAGTAAAACTAGTGGGTGCACAGCAGGCCAACCATACAAAGCAGCAGTCACAGCAACGCACTAGTCAGGGGTGTCCAACCTGCGGCCCACAGGCCACGTTCAGCCCAGGGTGGCTTGAATACAGCCCAACACAAAATCATAAATTTACATAAAACATTATGAATTTTTTTTGTGATTATGTGTTGCAATGTATTTAATGTGTGGCCCCAGATAACTCATCTTCTTCCAGTGTGGCCCAGAGACGCCAAAAGGTTGGACACCCTTATAAACCTACACTAACATAGATCTTACAAATAAAACGTTGAATAAAACTTTTTGGACTTTCATTAATGCCTGAAAATTTCCATAATAAAATGTTTTAATGTTAAATGAAAAAGAAATCAAAAGAAATCTATAGTATGGTACCATTTATATATATTGAAAACACCCACAAAATAACATGACCTATTTAACAAAGATACGGACATACCAAGAACACATCCAGCACAGGAGAGCAGGCTCCTCTGGCGGAGAGGAGAATGGGAGTGGGGAAAAAGGAGAAAAAAATAAAACAAGCAAGGGGCATTGCACAAGGAGAGAATCTTACACCAAATATGGAAGGATGTTAACCAACCCTCATCACCAAAGGTAAAAGTTAAAAACCACAGAAGCCAGCTAGCACAGAGGAAAGGCCTTTTGAGGACGCAGAAAGAAGATGGCCATTTGCAAGCCAGTGAGAGAGGTATCAGGAGAAACCAACTCTACTGGCACCTTGATCTTAGGGTTCCAGCCTCTATAATTGTAAGAAAATTCATTTCTATTGTTTAAGGAAAACAAAAACAAAAACACCACATGAGAGTGGAAAGGGAGATCTTTCTGAAACACAAGCTTGAGATGATTTCAGGCCCCCAGAATCCAACTGCTACTGAGCCCTGGATTTTCCCTCTTTGACATACTAGTATTTATAAAGAAGCTGGGGGTTCTTCGCTTTTCGCAAAAGGGATGTGTGTCTAACTCTTTGTCTGTTTCTCTTTTCGGTGTGTGCCTGTAGGTCTGTGTGTGGTGTGTTTATTTGTGGAGATAAAAAAGGACTTGGGAGGAGAGCAGGGCACCCCAGTGGAGGATGAGGCACACTTCATAAGCCATTCAGTTCCGCTGCGCTGAAACCAAGTCACAAAACCAAGCCATCTTCCTGTTCCCACTAGCCCTTCTCCTTGCTTCACTGTCCCCGCACCTACATCCAACACTGCTCCCCAACACCCACATCCACATGGGCTCAGAAGAGGCTGCTATAACTATAGTTACTATCCAAAAAAAAGGCAAAGAAAAAGCCATGTTTACTCTGTCATGTCCCCACAAGGGCACACTGGCCATAGCTTTTTTCAAGGGCCATCAAACAGTGTACCATTTAAAGTGGTGAGGAGGTACATGGGACACTCAGAAAAGAAAAGTCCCCACTGATTGAAATTATGTGAGAAAATGCAACAGATGCTAGCAGCAGCCTTAAATAAGCAAGCCCATGCCAGGAAAGTATTAATATGTCTTTAGGGGAAGAAGAAATAGCAAAGCAACTGGAGGAAGGAGCAACAGATCTACAATGAAATAAGGAAGAATGAGCAGGCCACCTCCCCAAAGACTGGGGCGACTACCCGCTGCACAAACAACCCTGAATTTTTATTCCCAAACACTGTTTTGTCTTTTCTACAGCAGCACTTTCCGCTGGATGATAAATGTTCAGGAATTCTAGGGTTTTCCCAAAATGCTCTGTATAAAATAAAATTTTGTTAATAGAGTATATTTGATAGGCATCAGGTACACGTTTTAGTTTTTAAAAATGTATGACACCTATACGTAAGATCCTTCAGATTTTCGTGAGGTGTGTTATTAAAGCATGCCTCTGCTTTTCCAGCTGAGGGGCAGGGTCTGCCACAATTTGAAAATTGGGGGGTGGGGCTGGGGGGGTTAAAAGCATTGAGTTTTTGAGCTAAAATTGAATGTTATGGTCAACACAGGCAATTCTGACTTAAGAAAACACACAAGGTTATTTAAGCATCAAAACTGACAAGCTTCTCTTATGAAAACATTTTTAAATTACAGCTTGATAAGCATTTATTGAGCACCTTCAAGCTAGGCACTGCAGAAGATGCTACAGATCCTCCAATCAAGAAGACTCTTACAGTAACTATGTTCCTTTAATGTCAGTTTAATACATCCCTTGGATTTTTTAAAAATGCTTTCTGATATTTGAAATAGCTGACTACCAGCATTGAAGAGTTGCAGAAATACATCTTACTATTTTACTAAAAATGTACATTTCTATCTCTGAAGCATAAAAAGAAGAAAAAGGCAATTTCTCTGCTTTACATATTGTTATCATTTTCTGCAGAAAAACTAATTACTTAAGCCGTGAGTGGTGGCAGCTGCCACCTCCTGCTATCCAGCAGGTCACAGAACTGGAGAGCCTCAAAAACATGCTATTTGGTTGGCCAAAAGTCCTTTTAGTTTTTTCCATAAAAGACACATTTTTCATTTTCACCCATGATTATTGATTTGGATATTTTGAGCATGTTGACTATCTCCTGCTATTGGCTGCTAGTGGTTAGAGGCTAAGGGTGCTGCTAAACATCTTCCAATGCATAAGACAGCCCCACAGCAAAGAAGTATTTGGCCAAAATGTCAATACTATCAAGAAGCTTCACAAACCATATTTGACACATCCAATCGGTCACAGCACCTTCTCCACACACTGCACAAGTCTTTTTTTGCATTTCAGCTAGGTTTTTACCTTTTTTGAAATAATAAAGCAAAACATGCCAAAAATGTTGTGTCTTTTCTTCCATATTTAATATTAAAATGGCTACACAAAAATTCACCAATTTTGATACTTTTTTTTAAATGCACACTGATAGGACAGCTGCCACAATACAATCTAACAAAATTGTTTTGAATGAAGTTAAAGACAACTTAGGGCTACCCAAGCCTTCTTAAGGGAAAAAAAAAAAAAAAACCAAAAGAACTTTTTGTCCAACCCAATACATAGTTTAAAAGAAGCCGTAAAGAAACCCAAAAGACCAGGACCTCCAAACCTAAACGGAAAGCAAGATAAAGAAAGTGAGCTGCGATAGGCAGAAGGCAGCTAGCTCCTGAGGTTCCCCAAAGCTGGTGCCTCCAACAGCAGGCACAAGCTGCTGCCACTGGCTTGATAGCTTGCTTGGACAAGGCATGGCTTCAGAGCTGGAAGGCTGCCACCTGCTGAATCACCAAACATTCCCGGGTTTCCCTTGGAGCACTGACCAGGCAGGGACCCATCCCCCTCCTGTGAACACCTTACACACGGACCGAAGAAACACCCTCTACACAGGCCAAAACAGCTTCCAACCCCCTCAAGTCTGGGCCGCTCTAGGCAACTCCCATCTCATTGCTACATCACCAGCCCACTCCTCTCTTTCTGCCCACTCAGTCCCCCCAGAATGTTCAAGCCCCAGAGCCAGGAAGCGTGGGGAGTTCACAGCACACCATGACAGGCACTTAGCACTTCCATATTCAGGCAGCCAACCAGAAACACCCCCAAATCTGAACGCAAAATAACCTGAAGGAACAGCTTTAAAGGTCCAGAAAGGTAAATGTCAAGAGAGCTAAAATAGTAGGCAGGCCCCAATAACAGAAAATAAACTTCCCTTTCAAAGCGCAGCCTTCACTCTTGGTTTCATAAGCGTGTACAGCGTAAGTGTGTACTGCCTGAAGGTTAAATGAAACATTTGAGAAGCACCTGCATGGATGCTCTTCACTCCCTCCAGCACGTCAACCCTTGTCCCGATTTTCACTCGCGACTCCCAAGAGGGAAACAAGCGTTAACCAGAACGCGCCAGGCTGAATCCGTTAGCTGGACCAGGACACCTTGTCGGCCCCCCAGAAGAAGCTGCAAACCCGAACCTGGGTTAAGACGGTGGGCGACACAGCCGCTGCTGTCGCTGCGCTGCCCTTGACAAGCGCCCCGGAATCGCGGACACCCCTCACTCAAGGGGAGAGCCACGTCCCGGAGAAACTGTCAAGTTTCAGGGTGGGCCCATGCTCCCCCAGGCCTTACCCCTAAACCCCCTCATCCAGCAGGGGCAACCCAGCGGGATCTTAGAACCTCCTCCTACCTAGAGGCTGTTTTCCGTCCTGTCGAGGGGAGCCTGCTCCTGAGCGAATGAGGTCCCAGCTGCTAGGTCGTACGGGCTATGGAGGGGCCACGGAGGCGGGGGTAATTGGAAGGATCCCGAAACCCTGGGCGCCTGGCTGGCTGCGATCTGGCCCAAAGGTACCAACTGTCACGCCGCCGCCCGGGGGTGGGGGTGGGGCCGTGATTTCAGGCCGGTTCCTGTGGGTACAGGACCCCGGCCCGGCCACTGCTCAAAGGAGACTCGTCTCCCGTTTCTTTGGCTCTGCCACAGTCCGCTCGCCACAATCGGACATTAGGCAGTCTTCCTGTCCCCACGCATCACCTCCGAAGAGGTGCCCAGTGACGCCCCCGCCTTCCTCTCCACCCCAACTTGGTGCTGGAGTCCCTCAGGCAGGCCGCCCCCTCCCAATCCCTGAGCTCGGCGGACCGACCTCCCCCTGCGCCTGCTTCCTGCGCCTACCCCCAGGAGCGGCGGCGCGGGGGGAGCGCCCGCCAGGTACGCGCGCGGCGCAGCGCGGGTTGTGCTCACGCCCCCTCGCCCCCCTCGCACTCCGCTCCTGGGAGTCAGGCCAGGCCCATGAGGCGGGTGTCCGATCGGCCCCCCGAGATCGGCTTTCTCCCCACGCCCCAAGACTCACTAGCACCGGAGTCGCGGCAGCCGCCGGAATTCCGCTCGCCAAGCCCCGCGCCGCGGGATGAAATCCGGGGCAGGGCAGTGTCGGGGCTCTGCAGCCTGATCGCGCTCCCTGGCCGGCTCGCCGGGCGCGAGGGGAAAGCAGCCTTCCCTGGCCCTTCCCGCTCCTGTCCGTACCCACTGCCGCCGCCGCCGCCGCCGCCGCTGCCCCTGCCGCTACCTCACAGAAGCTAAGGCTTCCGATTTGGCCAACTCTCGCCTCCTGGGCTGCGGAGCATGCCCAGTCCGAGCCTGCCTGGGTTCCCGCGCGACACAAATCCGCTCTTCCGGGTGTTCTCTGCGGCCGGGAGGGCGGGGCGAGTGGGCGGTGTCCGCAGGGGGCTCTTCTCGTGACTTAGGGGGATCCGGGCCGGACTGCGCACCGAGGGGCAACTGAGGTTTGGCCCCTTTTTTTTACTTTTAAGTCATTAGAAGCTCTGGAAGCGAATGTTTTTCCCAACGACGAGAAAGGAACTGCTTACACAATTTTGGGGGACCGTTTATTGAGGCCAGACGGGAGCCCATTTTTACGGTCAGAGGCGGTTTACCACTTGGGGCAGAGCCAGAGAGATTAAGAACTAGAATTGTTCAGAACCGCCTACTCGACCTTCTGGAGTCCAGACTCTGGGGCAGAAGTTTGCGAGCTATTCGAGGATTCTCTTCCCCACCCAGCCAAAGAGCTGCGACACTTATGATTAACTCCTGATTGAACGTTTATTTAAAAGGGGCGGGCCTACGGCGCAACAGACCGTTTTCAAGTCTCTATCCACAGACGCGCCTCCCAAAAGCTATGAAGCCACCTGCCGGGCCCACCCCGCGAAGGCACGCAGGTCTGGGAAAGCGGAGCGAACTGCGAGGAGTGAGCGCGACTAGAGAGGCTCCGCGGCTGCCCCGCCCCTTTCGGGACCCACCTCCCACCAACCCCTCAGAGTTGCGGAGAAAACCTGGAGAGCGATTTTCTTGGACTGAACACTGCGCATGCCCAGAGGAAGGAACCCTGTGCCCAGGTTAGGGGCTGACAGAGGAGACAGGTGGCCTTCCGCTGCGGCGCCTTCTCTCCCGGCCCTCCCGCCGGCGCGACAGCCCTGTAGCGGAAAGCCGGCCCGGGCTGCGCCTCCCTGGGTGTCAAAGGCTCGATAGTTGGGCGGGGTGGAGAGAGGGTGGCGCAGGGCGGTATCGCCGTGACACGTGACTGTCCGTGGCGCTTCGGGCAGCCATCTTCCGCCCGGCCATCGGGCCGCGGGCCATCGGAAAGGACCCGGGAGCCGACCAGATGGGCGCAGAGCACTCTTCGCCCCGGCACGCCCTCCTGCAGGATCCAGCCTCCCACTCCCCGCACCTGCCTCCGCCCGCCCGAGGCGCCAAAATCGTTGCTCTGGCCCTGGGTTTGCCTGGAGGGCAGGCTCCCGCCAGCCAAGAAGCAAACTAACGGCTCTGACATGCAGAGGGCAGACTCCGAGGGCGGATGGCCTCTGCTTTCCCCCGGAGGTTAAAGTTGGAGGAGGGCCCCCTTTGCCTAAGATAGTGACAGCGATGCTCCAACTACCTTCTAGTTCTAACCTATTCCCTGCGGAGAAGGTGTGGTATGTTGACAGATACACCTGGACAGCCCGTCGCTCTTCCCTGCGATGCAGTATCCCACAGCCGCTTCCGGCGGACGGCTTGGAAGATGATATTCGTAGTGAATATTTATGGAGCTCCTGCCACGTAGCACTTGGGGCCCCTGTGATCTCAGGGCCAGCCTTGTCACCATCCTAGGAGAATTTGTTACAATTGTAAAATTCCAGACCTACTGAACGAGAAGCTGTAAGGGTGGGATCCTGCAGTCTCATTAACAAGCCCCTCCAGGTTCTCCTAGACATTTTATTTCTCTGTGTCAACTAAACCTCAGGGCAACCCACTTTACAAATGTGGCTTGCAATTTTACGTAGTTGACCCTAGAAGATAGCAGTGGGGAAGTCAAACCGAGCCAGTATGCCTCGTTGCAGGCTTTTTATCACGCTTACCACTCTGGCTTTTCTGACTTCACCCTTTGACACTATACGGCTCTTCTCGGGGAAATGCCATTGTCACATAGGGCTTTAAAATAACAACTGAAATTCAGTTCATGTTCTGAGTGACCACTGACAGTAAGGCTCAGTGAGTCATAGTAGCCCTACTAAGTATTTACTTCAGTTTGCAAAAGGGTCAAAGAGAAGGCTTGCTTTCTTGTCATGTAAGTTTTTCTAAGGGAATGCCAGAAACCTGGATGGTTTTTCTGAAGTGCTATTTATACGATTGTGGCTTAAGCTTTGGGCTTCCTAAAAATAAGGTTCAAGTAAGCATCTGATGTAGACCTGTGTCAAGGAGTCATTATATTTACTTTAAATGCTCCCCTCCCCAAAAACTAAGGGTGAGCTAACTTTTGCAAAGCATTGATAATTCTTGATTGTAAGTGGTTTTTCTAGGGTGCTCGTAATTTTTTCTAATTTTCTGTATGCTTGCAGTTTTTCATAAGAAACATTTTAAGTTGTTTTCCATGAGTAATTTTAAGACTATGTATAACATGAAAAAAAGCAAGGTATACAACTATTTCTATTTTATTTCAATTTTATAAAATATTTCAGATGGAAAAGCTATATATTGTTACAGAAAAGAAGAAACAATAGACCTAAAATCAAGTCACCTGTGCTAAGCCTCACATCATGGAACCAAGACTCAATATCTAACCTCATTGCAGTTGCAGCCTCTCCCAGGAATATAACTTTTAACCACTTAATCTAGAATTACCTGATCCACACAAGTGAGGTTCTCTGATTGATAGACCCCATCCTCCCCCCAAAGGAAGGTAACCTTGCCTGGACCATCCACTTCTTGTTAGAAATTTTCTTCTCTTGTCCCCTTCTGCCTATAAAAGCCTTCCATTTGTTTTTTGTTTTTTTTTACTTTAATCTTCATTGTACTTTTATCCATTACCATTTTTCCCCCTATACCCACTTCCCCCCAGCAGTCACCACACTGTTGTCCATGTCCAAGAGTCCTTTTTCTTTTTTGCTCAATCCCTCCAGTCCCTAACCTCTCCCCGCCCCATTCACTAGCTGTCATCTGCTCTCTGTCTATGAGTCTGTTCCCATTTTCCTTGTTAGTTCAGTTTGTTCATTAGATTCCATATATGAGTGAAATCATATGGTATTTTTCTTTCTCTGACTGGCTTATTTCACTTAGCATAATGTTCTTCAGGTCATCCATACTATCACAAAGGGTAAAATTTTGTTTTTATGGCTGAGTAGTATTCCATTGTGTAAATGTCTCCTAGTTGTTTCATCCACTCATCTATTGATGGACGCTTTGTATAGCTCCTCAGAAATCCTTTCTGCTTGCTAGATGGGATGCTGCCCAATTCGTGAATCTTTGAATAAAGCCAATTTGATCTTTAAATTCACATGTTTGAATTTTGTTTTTTAAGAGATTTGTTGGCAGTGGTAGGATCCAAAGCAAACTTCTGACAGCACTTGGGGACAAGAAACAGGCATAGCACCCACAAACCCATTTTGAGTTACCTGTCTTTTTAACCATTCCCAAGGGCCATGGATAAGTTCCTCTTTGTTCCAAGCTCTGCTCTTTTTTTCCAGGAGTTCCTAATCTAATTGGCTTTTCAATACAAGGCAAGTCAGCTTAGGTTGGCAAACGGTTCTGCCATTTATGCCCAGAACCCAAACTCCCAGCCTTTATTTCAGACCACAATTCTCATTTATTTGGTGGAAAATTCCAGCCCTAGACTCTGTCCCAGGAGCCACATGGGAAGTGTTATTGGCAGTTTTCAGTTCCCTACTTATGTGGAGACCCCAGTCTGTAGTCCCCACTCGTTAAGGTCAGCTGGTTCAATTTTTTTTCCCCAGTGCAGGAATCCAAAGTGCAAGTAGATGACACTCACAGGAGCATCTCTTGACCAGAACACAGTGACATCTCTGCTGATGTACTAAGGTGCAGGTGTGTGTTGGTCTTATTTTGTATAGATAAGGCTATTGCTAACATGAATCTCGAAGGCAGTTGCAAAATTGGTAGACAGAGGTCAAACATTTAAGAGTTGGTAGAGCGCTTGCCACCAAACTCAACGACTCCCACTTTGGGGGTTAGGATAAATTGGCCATGGAACAGATTAGAATGACACTAGGTCGCCTGCCATCCTCAAGATAATTTCCGTGCAGTGAGGTACACTGTAAAACACCACACAGTCTCCAACTCAAAGGCACATCCCCCATAGTTAGGCTCCAAGAGACCCAAAAGCTTAGCCTGCATAAATAAATAGATAGATAGATAGATAGATAGATAGATAGATAAAGTTGGATCTTTCAAACCCAAAGAGTTAAGCACACCATCTTCTGACACACCTGCTTCTTATGTCTAAAAACTGCAGTCCTGGAAGCTATAAGTATGTACAAAAAATAACAAAATCTTTCTACAATTACAATAGCCATTATGAGGAACATTCTAAATTAGATAAAGTGACTTAAGAAGTATACTTAAAACAAGGACTTCCAACTGAAACAAAATGTCCTACTTATTTTAACTGGTATGCAGAAGCTAAAAAGCTTCAAAATTCCAAAATAACTTCATTGAAATATTTGTTGTTAAAGGGTAATGAAAAATTAAATATATAAGAGGTAATCTAAAACAAAAGACTATAAAACTGACATAATTCTAAATGCTCCCCTCTGTCCTATTAGTAATTCTCTGTCTGAATTTCCTTTTCACTCTGAAAAGATTATCTGCTGCTTTTAAAATATGACCTGAGATTACAGGCGATCCTCTTTAGGTGTCTCACTCCTTGGTCAAAAGATGAACTAAGGACCATAGTTGAACATTTTTTTCTAAATTTAAGTAGTATCCTCAAACATTTTTGTAAATGGATTACTTCCTGAGATTAATGGATTGCTAAAAAGGCAGAATATAGGATGGGGAAGTCACCACTCTGACAACTCAGACCATAGCTGAGCACTTTGAAACGGCTTTAGAACAAGACCATAAACAAAGTCCACCTGTAGCTGAATACAGGTCAGTCTGCCTGCCACAACAAAAGCCAGACTCATGAGACAGGTGCTGGTGAGAAGGAAAGTGGTTTATTCAAATGCTAGCAATCGGAGAAGATGGGAGGCTCTTGTCTCAAAGCCCGTCTTGACATCTCAGTGCAGGCAGAGGTTTTTATAAGGAGGGAGAGGGAAAGCAGAA